AACTAGCCCTTGACTGCAGTGCCTCTGATCCCAGACACCTGAAGCAGGTAACCAAGGCAGGTCCCTGGCTGACTGAAATGTCTCCATTCACCTTTTCCAGGAGGCCACCACAGTGTTCATGCTCTCAGTCTTTGGCTCCTCAAGCCTCACTCCCGCTTTTGTGTAAGAAAGGAAGAAAAGGACATTCAGCTCTGGCATCTGGGAGGAATCTGAGAAGCTCTGGGCAAGACTTGCTCCATCCCCGAGCTCAGAACAGAAGCACTTCTCCCCCTCTCAGCCATACTGTCCCTCATGGACACGTCAGGGACATCCTCAGGGCTGGAAGACACTCAGCCCCAATAGCTGGCACCCGCTTTACTTCTACAGCATCATTTCCTGAGAGTTAAGCATCCCTAAAGGAAGGTGATCCAGAGCTCTAGGTGCCCTTGACACCAGTTAAAGCTATAATCTATAGCAATAAAGCCATTACAAAACAAAACCAGGAGCAAATCCCTCCAGCAAACAACCAGTCAGCGAAAAATTTGCACCCAAAGTCTCTTCCCTCGCTCCACGCTGCCACAGCCCTCCCTGGCACCTCTTCCCACAAACATGCTTGGAGGATGGAGGTGGGTCTTTGCATCAGGCTGAGCTGCTGATAAGCCAGGGACACCTCAGTGCTGTGTTAATGGGAATCTAAGTGGGCATGCAGCTCCACCACACAGTGGAAACCTTGGAAAGCTGCAGCACCATGGGTGATAGCTCATTTGGCTCCAGGGGCTGCTGGCCAGGGCTCAGTGGTGGCCAGAGCTCTGGAGGGGCTCGTGGCCTGGTGTATCCTTCCCCTGATGGTGTAAACACAGCTTCCCATTGCTCTGAGAAGTGCCAAGAGCCCCAGTCCCACCTACAGATTCTTGGGCTTGGGGAGGAAATCCCAGTCCACGCAGTGATTGGAATTAAGAGATCTGTTGGTCACACTTTTCCTCCTGTCCCACTTCTTACTGAACCATCTTCTAGCTCTGTTTCTGGTCACTGCCACATTTTGTTTGGAGAGCACAGAGGGTCCTTTCCCCAGGGAAGAGAGAATAAAATCTGCTCAGCCACCTAACCGGGAAACAAGACTGCCATTCTGGTGGACAAAAGATATCAGGAAATCACTTTACATTTCTTCCCACTCCAAACCTGCCCATCTTCTGCTGACTCCTGAATGTTAATGTTATTTATGACAAGTGATTGATGAGGGAGACGCAGAATTCACACCCAGCACAGGGCATTTTCAAATCACCTATTCATTTTTAAGGACCGGAATCAGTTTTGTATCCTGACATGATTTATCATTTGGAGGCTGGGCAGTGGCTACGCAGGGCCAGCTTCCAATCCCTGACAGAGCACCAGCAGGATGAAGACAGCAATGAGTCATTAACCCTTTGGGGATGAGCAGAGGAGCACAGGAGACCAGTATTTAAACCAGATTGCTGAAGTTGGAGCCTTCTACTCCAGCGGCATGCCGGGCCATCCTGGAGCCCTCAGCTGCAGATTTATAGGCCACAGTGGTCCAAGCTAACAGCCACAGTGATGCTGCTGTATCTCTTAAAAGCAGAACTTGGTTTTTTGTCTTCTACACAGTCTATGTGAGAGAAATATTTACGTAAGGCGCTGTCATGGCAATGCACCTAAAAGAGATCAATGGGACATTTCCCCTCCAGTGGACCTTCCAGCCTACACAAGCCTCTCTGTCTGTGGCAGAGTGAAATGTCACTGTGGGCTCAAGAGAGATCTAGCTCTGAGACAAATTCTAGCTCCCTTTCCTTGGAAATGTGCATTTCCTCAGGTTGTGTATGGGAAGAAGGCAAGATGGGGCACGTGGGATGGGCCTGGCAGCTGGGAGAGGGCAGAGGGTCTCAGGCTGGGAGAACAGGGACAGAGTGGGAATGACGTGTCCCCAGCAAACACCATCTATCATATGTTTGATGCCAGCCTGCCAGGGGCTGGCACGACCCACAGAACAACTTAATTCACTGCATCAGCATGGAAAAGCAAACAAACACAAAACAACTGGGCAAAGCAGCCAAGTCTGGAGGTGACACTGTGACAGCTTTGTCACTGCCCTTTCCTCGCGTTTCAGGAGACCACGTAGCTGGATGCAGCCTCTCCCATGAGCAGGGGGAAGTCTACAGAGTACAGAGAGCAGAAATCTGAGGCTGTGAGACCTGGGTCTAGCTGCCCTCAGTACCTTTAACATCACCTTAATCTCACGGGAAAAGGTGTCAAAGTTCAAGGGCATCACAGGTTCACGCTTAAGAAGGAACAAGGGAACAAAGAATGAGAGATACCCCTAGAGAGTCTGCTTGGGGTGTCCTACAGAGGTGTCTCAAGATGACAGGTGACTGCTGGGACCCCCGCAGGGAGCCCTGGACTGGCAGCACCAAGGCACAAAACCCCTTAAAATTGTCCACACGGAGCAGTTTCCTCCCTGCCTGAGCAGCTCCTGGCCGTGCCATTCCCACAAACAGCAATCCCTTCCTCAGGTGGGAAGGCTGCAGATGGGTGGATCAGCCCCATGGCAGCAGTTTCCCCATCAGCCCTGCAGATGCTGGCAATTCCGAGTGCCAGCTGCCCCAGGGGTCCTGTGCACTTGTGGAACCCCCTTTCACGAAGAGAAAAAGCTTCTGCTGACTCTTAGAAAGAGCTAAACACATGGGTTGAGCTCTTCCACATGATTTCCTGGTCTCTAGTAAGGGCTGAGTTCACACAAAAGCTTTTCCCCTTGGTGGGGGTGGCTGTTGTCACTGCCTGGCATCTTGTTTTCCCAAAAATACCAGAGATACTGAATGTGCTTGAAGCTCCTGTACCTGCAGCCATTTTTGGCTGGTGTTAGCCCAGCAGATCCAAAATCCTGAAAGCCTGGGATGGACGTACGTACGTTCTCACATCCCCATCACCATGGCATAAGCTGTGTTTCTTAGGAAACCAGCCTAGCAGCAGTATCCCTGTTTAGGAGGAAAGATGAACTCTGGATGCAGACTGGATTTTAGAAACCACTCTTCTGCTGCTACCACCTGCATGGCTCTGCAGTGCTCCCGTGACAGCGAGGGCAGCAGAGCTTCCAGCGGGTCTGGAAAAGGGTGATGGAAGCGGATGAGAGGGAAAGAGAAGGATGAGGGTGTGCTCTGGGTTTTGTGTGGGTTTCTTGGCACATCCTTGGGCAGCTCAAAGCAGGTGGAATAGGCAGCTTGTGCTGTACCTGCAGGAGGGGTGAGCACACCCAGCCCCTGCACTGCTGCTCTTGTGTCACTTTGGCTTCACGGCCACACACCCCATGGGCTGGAGGGGCTTGTGCTGGCAGCCAGGGGTGACATCCACACAGCTCAGTGGTTCCTCTCCTCGAGACCAGGCATGCTTGGAACAATGCAAGGAAATTTTGAGCCTTGAGGCCGTCCCTGCTGGGCCTCCTGATGGTGCCCTCATTGGGCTGGGTGCCCATCTGGTGGCCTGTGAGCAGGAGCTGCTCGGGGGCACATCCTCGGTGGGGGCCGGCCAGAAGGGCTGCCTCAAAATGCTCCTCGGAGTGGAACTGGTACTACAGCTACTGTACCATCCCTCCATCCCCAGAGGGGTTTGTTCCTTGGAAATTTTGTACTTTGGAAACTAAAAATAAGGTGCCCATCCTAGGAACTTGTTTTTTTTCATTTTTTTGTTTGTTTTTTCCAGTTTAAGGGGACTGGTTTTGTTCCTGCTCTGTTTTGCATCGAGAGAAATAAGAAAAGCCAAATTGTCCTGGCTGTCCCTTGCCTTTCTCCCCTCCACCTCACTGCACAGTGGACTAAAGAAGTCTTTCAAAACCTGACAGTCAGTCAGATTTGTTCCTTGCTAGAAAAAGGGAAAAAGATGACTTTCCAGGGAAAATAATAATAATGGAAGTTTCCTGTGAAAATTAAATAGTCAACAGTTGCTCTCTGGATCAAAGAGTGTCTCTGTTAAGTGTTTTCACAGCTCTCTTGGTACAGCTGGGTCCTGAGCCATGAGGAGAAATCCTGCTAGTGGCATCTCTCTAAGGTTCTGTGCTGTGGAGATGCTGGACCAGAGGCACCTCTGCTTTCCCCTTGCTCAGCACCACAGGCCAGGCCTGGGCACCCGAGTTTCACACTGCCATCTCCAGCTACCTCTCTCAGTCCTGCTGGAAACATGCTGCCCTGGTTCAACCCTGCCCTAAATACCCTGGTGCTCACACACTTCCCAGGGAGGAGAGGGCAAAGCCACCAGGCAGAAGTGTTGGACAGCAGAGAGCAAAGAGCAGCATCATCCCGCTCCTGAGGCATGGGAGGGTTGCTGAGCTCACCCAGGGTGCTTGAGGACCTTGCCTCTAACCAGGGATGGTGCTGAGGTCTTTCCAGCTCCCAGCAGGTCAGAACACCTCTTGCTAAAGGAGAGGAAAATTCTTCTCAAGCCAGAATTGAGTTCACACCACGTCTAGCCAGCATGACACAAGTGCCACAGCGCTGGGCCAGGCCTGTTGGGTCTTTATTTAGCAATAATGGGGCTGCAGGTAGGCAAACATCGAGCTTTTTATTCAGCATCAGCCTCAGGACAAGGTGAGACATGAAGATGTTGAGAGCTCATGCCATTACGACAGCAGCCAAAATTCTCTTGGTTACAAGGCCTTTGTAAAAACTTTCTAGCCAATAGGGGTAATGTTAAAAGCTTACAAGCATTTGCTTAAGCCAATCATTAAAATTACATGCACTCTTTGCCTCTAACAATGTTTGCTCATTGTAGCTTAATGGATAAAGCTTCATTATTAAACTTACATTTTTCTTGCTTACCATTTCTTCTAAGGCCTATCTCTACACCACTCAGAACCACAGCCTTATTGTTTCCTGCCTTTGCATATCTGTATTCTGGCATTGTTCTATTCTGAGATCTGCCTTCACACAGCTTCTGAGAGTTTTCTACCTTTTCTATCTCCCGTGCAGGCCCTGCCGTGGGGAGGGGGCACCGGGACCCCCAGGCACGCGAGCACTCACCATCTGGATGACAGACACGGGCCCGATGCTGTTCACGTAGATATCCACATCAATGAACGTGGGCTTGACTGGAAAGACAAGAAAACAGGTACCATCAGCCAGGGCCAGGAGCATTTGCAGAGGGATGGAGACAAGGGGAACATCTGGGATGAGCGTGGCCCTATGGCAGCAATCATCCCAACTACAGCGGGCACCAAAGCATGGAAAACACAAGGCACAGATGGGCCAGGTCACCACCCGAGGCCACAGGGAGCTCCAGGGGACACTTACTGCCAATGTCAGGCCTCAGCTTGTTGTCATAGTTCTTGAGCAGCGAGTTGAGGATCTGCGTGGCATCAGTCTCCTGTGCCTTGGGCGTGAGGACCCAGGTTTTATTGATGCTGAGGTAATCATAATCATATTCCTCTGTGCTCTCACACCTGGAGAGGAGAGACAAAGGGCAGGGACATGGCTGTGGCAGCTCTCTGGCACTGCCTGGGAGCAGGGGCACAGCTGTGTTTCAGAGATACCAAAGGAGGAGGATGCAGCACGGGTAAAAGGCAGAGCACGAGGAGCTCAGGGATGTCCCCTCAGCCACACTGCTAAGAAGACACAACTCACCTGGCACCTTTGCTCACTTCAGGGTCACCAGACATGCAGGGGCCTTGCCACCAGTGGGGAAGACTAGCATAGAGTGCTCCACCTCCTCCTTAGCTCCCTTTGGAGACACACTGCTCATCCTCAAGGCGTGGGAGCCAGTCCCTGCTTTCCCTGCCTTCCTGCTCATCCCACCCAGCAGCTCCTGCTGCCAGAGCTGCCTGTTAACCTCAAATACCTCCACTACTCTGCCTGCTGCTGACACCTGAAGCAGGCTTCCTCTGAGGAAAGAGGCAGTGACAAAACAGTGTTTTTGGGGAGCAAAGCATTTGCAGTAAATTTCAGAGAAAAGAGGTCCTAACACTACCAGGCATCGTGCACGTCTGGCATGCCTGGAACCCAGCCATCTGCCCTGCACAGATCCCTGGAAATTAAAGCCTTATGCAAACTCCTCTGCCTCCAGGCCAAGACCTGCCACAACCCATTCCCTGCACTCACCAACCCTTCCTCCCCAGCCTGTGGCGTGAGCTCCCGTTTAAAGATGTCCCATCTTCCCCATCTCCCAGTTCCAAGCTGGGCGAGGAAAGCTCGTATCCATCCTCCTTCGGACACGATCCACTTAGCAACAGCTTCTCTCACTGCCTTTCAAACCTGCCCTCTCTAAACCTTCGGCACTCCTCCCTTTTCCTAAAGGAGTTTTCCTAAACCGTCTAATTAGATTAGGTCCACACGGTCACCCGGGAAATTCTAACCACCTGCCGCCGCTCCGGGCAGCTCATTCACAAGGCTGTCCCCGGAATGACACAGCCATATGTGGGAGAGGATGCTCCGCTGCCGGCACAGCCCCCTCGACGTCTGCCATGTCAGAGTGTCACCTGCTCCGGCGACAGGGAGGGTCTGGCAGCGGGAGCTGACACTTCCCAGCTGGAGCCTCGCAGCTCCGAGGTGCAATCGGGCACCGCGGATCCGCATCTCCAGCGCCTGCGGAGCACAGCCCGGCCGAGGCGCTCGGAGGGGGCGAAAAAGCATTCAGTTGACACGTTGCGGCCGATTTATCAGACGCTCCTCTTTCAGAACCCCAGACAAGAGTCGCTTTTTAAAACTCTTTGCATCTCCGGCTCCGGGACGCGTCCCCCGCCGAGGGCCGGGCTGCGCGCAGCTGGCCGCCTGCCGCCGCGCATTAGGTGTTGCTACATCAGCTCATTGTTCCCTGGCTGACTGCGCTGCACTTCGGAACGATGCTTGGGGAGTGTTTAGCAGCGCTCTGGCCGGGCTCTCGCCGCGGCGCTGCCTCCGAGGCGAGCGGGGAGCCCTGCGGCACCCGGCAGCTGCAGGAGGCACCGGGGAGCACCCCGAGCCCAGCCCAGAGCGGCACAGGGCTGAAATCCGGGGCTGGCCCCGCTCCTGACAGAAACAGAGAGAGATGTGTCCCCGCAGCGCAGCCCGGGGCGAGGGACGGCAATCCGAGCTGCTTTTCAGAGCTGCCAGGGCTTTGGGTGATGCAGGCTGCCTCCGGCAAAGTGGGAACAGCTACACCGAGGCATTTTCTTCCTGTTCCCTTGACCTTACTTGAAGTCACCTGCCAGCACTGAACTTGGCGCATCCCCCTGCCCTGCCAAAAATCCTGGTCCTCTGAGAAACTGTAAGGCCACAGCAGAGTTTGAAACATCCTTTTGGGGGCTGAGCAAACCCTGGCTGAGCTTACCCTACTCACAGTCTTCTGCTTTCCCCACATTTAGTGTCACTGATTAACACCCCAAGGCTTGGGTAGCATTTCCAGGGAGTCACATCCCTATTACGGATGCAAGGACACTACCAAAAATATGCTTTTTGCTAATGCAGCTAATCCTAGTCGACTAAACCATACTAAGCCATTTTAGCATAAGCAAGCCAGCTTTTACTGGAGAAAATATGCTTTTTCTGAGTGCCTGTGCACACACAGACACACATCAACCCTTGCTGGTCAAGAGTGTAACTCTCATGCCACCCTATGCAAGCCACTGTCTCCTCCCTGTTCTCTCTTCTTGGTGGCCCCACTTTAAACCGAGAAGGGAAGAGCCCAAGATCTATTGCAGAGGACAGGCATTAAGGTGACATGTGCATCCCCCCTCCAGCTGCTAATGGAAATGTCACACTGCAGACCTGCAGAGATCCCCAACGTGCTGTGAACACTTGCTGGCCTGGCAGCTCCATCTCCAGGCACAAAGCGACTGGCTTGGTGACAGGGGACAGCCAGTTCTCATATGTCTCTGTGCAGCCAAGGGGAAAGGCAGAGCTGTGTTTCCTCACCTCTGCTTGTTGAGATGTCAGAACACCCTCCTCAGAGCCGGGCCATGGGGCTGGGACACAGCCTCAGTGTGGGCAGGGGGTGACAGCAGGGCAGAACTGGGGGTGTCACAAGGAAATCCCTGGTCTTGACAGAGGAGTTGTGGCCAAGGCAGCTCCCGCTGGTGCCCCGAGCAGGAGGCTGGCACGGCAGGGAGGTGTCCTTTCGCATGTGCTCACATGTATGGATGAGGTTGGACAATTCTCCCTGGGCAAGCTGTGGCATTACAGCAGGACAGAGCCGTGCCTTGGCTCCCTGATCCCCTTTTACTCAAGCAGACACCTGTTTGGCTGAGGCTTCCAAACACACTGCTGGGGAAAGTCACCTGAAGAGCTGCTGGCTGGCTCCCTCCCCCAGCGCCCAAGCTGTCTGGCAAGGTGTTCCCTTGGCAGGAGGAGGGCAAGAGCAACATGTGCCACGAGCCCTTGAAGACACCTCTGCTCCTTGCCTGCCGGGGCAGCCGGTGTTGCTTGCCTGGGATGCACACCCGCAATTATTCACCAGCTGGTGGTGGCCCTGAGGCAGGAGCCTCCCAGTGCAGATGCAGATCCCCGGGCTGTGTCCAGCCCTGCTGCAAACACAGCTGAAAGCCTTCCCTGCTCCCAAGGAAAAGAGAGCAGCAAAATGCAAGAACAACATTTCCCATGGTTGAAAAGCACCGTGGTCAATTCTAATTACCACATCACGTCCTTCTAATGTGTCCTTCTAGTCACCCATCCCGATGCCTCCTAGGGCTGTAGGCACAGGGGTGTTGAGGCAGATATCTCTGAATTAGAAGCAGGCAGAGGATTTAAAGACAGGGGCCTCTAACTGCCTCTTAACCTTCTCACGTCTTCCTACCTCTGACAACACACTCCATGAAGCCCCAGTGGTCCAATCTGCACAGTTTCAACCACCTGCCAAGCCCAGCATCTGCTGTGGTGCTGTGCAGGGATCCTGCCCTCAGGGCTCAAAGTTGGCTGCCCTGGTCCCAGCTGAGGCAGTGCCCTGGGAAATGCTGGGGAATGAGTCTCTGTGCTGGGGGGACCAGCTGAGGGGAGCTGAATCACCTGGCAAAAAGCATCCAGCCCGCTCCAGCACCAGGGGAAGGGTCTTGCTGCTTGCACCAGGAGAAGAGCATACACACATACACAGCTCTGTTCACATGAACAGAGCTCCCCATCCCAGCACCTACCATGAGGGAAGAGGAGATTCACTCTCCACAACTGCATCCAGGTTCATTTTTATGCAGTGAATGCAGAGCAAGACCCTGATGTAACTTGCTCTTTTTCTCCTCTCCCACTCCATCATGCCCACCCCCCACAACCTCCACAGCCACTGCTCCTGGCAAAGCAGGGCTCAGGGCAGAGGCAGACTTGAGGCACCGGGCAGAAGAGAGGCCAGGCCAGCTATGGGGTGAACATTCCTGCTCAAGGGTATGTGTGTGAATGCATGATTTAATTGCTCCTCCGTGTGATGTTGCAGCTTACAAGCCATCCTCTCGAAACGCAGGGCTCGTGGCAATGCACTGCAGGGACGGTGGGGCACAGGAACCGGGACCACCACAGGTCCATCACCCCTCCAGTGCCCCCTGGCACCCGAGGGGTTTTGTGCCGGGGCACGGGAGAGGCTGGGTGTCAGGACACGAGCAGCGGGGCAGCTCTTGCTCCTTCACCCTGGGAAGGGCAAGCCACGCCGGACCACGGCAGGGATGGACTTTGTGCCCACCGCCGGGCTCGGGAAGCACTGGCAGGGCAGACCATTAGTAGCAGGATTCATGCTCCCCGTCCCTGACTGCATCTGTAATGGGATTTGATCGGCTTTAAGGCGGCTTATTCTGCCAATTAGCTTCAGCCAGTAAAATCCCTCTTCCCCCAAGCCCTGGGGGTAACAATCTGCTGACAACATGTTCTTTCCCCATCTAGCCATTAAACTCATCAGCAGGGCTAGGAATTGTAAAAAAAAAAAAAAAAAAAAAAAAAAAAAAAAAGGAAGAAAAAAAAAAAGGAAAAAGAAACTTGAAACCCCCTTGTGCGTGGGCCCTTTCACCGCTGTTTACAGAAAAGCGCTACGAACGGCTGGCCCTGGGAAAGCGCTGCCACCTGCCCGGCCCGGCTCGGGGCACCGGGCTGGCCTCGGGCTCCCCGCGGCAGCCAGAGCCGCGACCTGCGGCCAACCTGTGGAGCAGGGCAGGAGCCCTCCGTGCCCTCCCGCTGCCAGGCTGCACGCCCTGAGGGGGCCCGGGGGCATGGAGTGCGAGGTGGGCTCCTTCCCACCCAGCCCGGCTCCACGTGGAAACGCGCCGGTGATGGATGGAGCTCCCCGGAGGCGCCGAGCTCTCTCCGGTCCTGCTCCGGGCAGCCCCGGAAGGGGCTCGGCCCCCGGCAGGATTAGCCAGCGGGGTGATGGCCGGTGGAGAACGGGATGTCCTCTCCATCCCGGCATGCGGAGGGGGAGCCCGGGGCGCAGAGGACACGCAGGCACTCGGCGCTGCCGCGACGGGACCCGCTGGAAGGAACAGCCGGGGGCACGGGGGTGCCCAAATCCCCGCTGGAGCCGGCGTGGGGAGAGGCGCTGCCACTCCAACCCCCTCCCCTCCCACTGTCCCGAGGGGTAAACTGAGGCGGGGAGGGGGCGTCCCGGTCGGCGGGGGTGTGTGTTGGGGGGGGACTCACCTGGCGCGCAGGACCGGCCCGAGGGCCAGGCAGAGCAGCAGCACCGTCCCGGGCATCTCTGCGAGGCGAGCAGCGGCCCGGGGGGCGGCGGCGGCCGTGAGCCCGCCCGGCGGGGCTCAGCGCGGGGCCGGGCCGGGGGCGGCTCCGGGGCCCCCCCGCTGCCCGCAGCACCGCGCTCCGGCCCCGCCGCCGCCCCGCGCTCCGCGCCGCCGCCCGCGCTCCGCAAACTTGGGCATCTCTTCTCCGGTCGGCGGCGGGGAGGGGCTGGCAGCGGCTCCTGCCTCCCCGCGCAGGGGCCGGCCTCCCCCGCAGCCCCGGGGCTGAGCGCCGGCGGGGGGGCGCCGAGAGGCACCCGCGCATCTGCCGGAGCCGCGCTGCCGCTCGGGGAGCGAGCATCGTCAGCTGGTGCGAGGAGCTCTCGCTCCCCCTCTGCGTAACAAGGCGTTTGATTTCTCTTAATACTCGCCTTTTTTTTTTTTTTTCTTTTTCTTTTTTTTTTTCCCCCCTTCCCATGCACAACTGTTGGGGTGTTTGTCTAAAAAAAGAAAGAGTGGGTAATTATTGCTAAATTACGCAAGGCGTCAGGCCCCGCTGGGCTGAGCTGGCAGCGAGATGCAGCCGGGAGAGGGTCCTTTCCCACCTGTTGGGGCTGCTGTCCCGCAAAAACAGCCAGGAGGGTGTGTGGGGAGGAGCTGTGGGACAGCTGGGGGCTGTGGGCTCCCAGCCTATCTCTCTCTGCCTTCAGGATTTGCCAAGATGTACCCGGGCATTTCTTTACTCTGCCCACGTCCTGGCAAACAGGAATAACAGATTCCTTCCTGGGGAGCTCTGGGCGAGAGTTCCTCGGAACAAACTTTGTTACACCTACACGAGGTACCAATAATTGTCCCTTGTTGTTTAGTTACAGGCTGGGGTGCAGGAGCTGGTCCCCAGAGAGGCCTGGTCCTGCATCTCCTGCAGGTCTGGTAATTCTGACGGCAAATCCAGCTCCTCTGGACTGGAGTGGGACCATCCCTTTTACTGACAGCTGACTCTTCTCTCACTCCTGGGCCTGGCACAGCCTTCCCCACACCGGCAGGGGCAAATCACCCCTCTGCTCTCCTTCTGCAGCATCCTCCTGCTGCTGCCCCATTTGTTCAGGGCAGGGAGATTCCCGTTCCCCAGGCACACCCAGCGCCTCCCAGCCAGAACCAGTCTGGGTGGCCATGGGGATCCCACAGGGGCACGAGCAGGCAGTAACAGCACACCTGGGTGGTTTTTTGAGGCTCTGTCCCTTCCTGATTGCTGCAATGATCACGTTAAGCCCTGGAGTGTGAGATCTGAGTGGCCCCAGAGCCACAAGAGGCAGCTGCAGGCATCAGGGTTCTGAGATGGCATTTCCCTGGAACAGTGCAGCTACAGATGATGTTGCTTTACTTCATGCAAAGAAGTCAGCTCTGGATGGCAGAGTTTACAGGAAGCACATGTCAAAAGATAAATAATGAATATCAAAGCAGCAGTGAAGGTGGAAAGAGCTCTTTAAGCTTCAAAGCAAGCCACTGGATTGTTCCAGAAGTTCTTCAGGGATCCAGATGAAGCTGAAGTTGGGAAAGGTGCAAGAATAGCTGCAGGGAAGATGGAGCTGTCAAGGATTCTGGTCACAAGCAGACCACAGAAAATCCAGGGGTTCATATATGTGCTCTCAGCTCCCCCTCAAGACGCAGGATGTGAAGTGGTACGTGGGGAAATTCCCAGGACTGATTTCTTCTGACTACCCCGTTCTGCTACTTGAGAACTGAGAGATCTGGGGAGGGCTGTGCTCGGAGCAGTGGAGATGGGCTGGGAAATGTTAGGGAATCACAGCATGTCCTCAGGAGGCTGTTTTGGGGACACCTTCCAGGCAGTTTTATGCACCAGGAGCTTCCAAGCACTTCTCCTCTCTGGTCTTCTTCATTTCCAGGAGTTTCATTTTGTAGCTGGTGCTGAGTCTTTCCCTGGAACCAAGGATAAGAACAAAGCCTGTTGATGGTGTTGGAGAGCAAGGGCACTGCTTTTCAAGCAAACACCTTATTTATCAGCAGCACAAGCTCGGCTGGGGAGAAATCCATTTCAAATTCACCATGATTGGTTCTGACCAGGAAAACCACCCTCAGTCCAAATGCTGAGAAGGACAAAATGTCCTGCTCTTATGTTTTGGGAGGGAGCAAACCCTATTTTCCAGTTTGAAGAGACATTTGTTTTGAGGTCTACTGTCATGGGATTCGAAACTTAAACAGGAGATGCAATGTTTTATTCAAGATGTTTTTTATCCCTTCTGGTATTTCAGTTTAACCGGCAAACTAATAAAACCTATTATTTACAGAGTCCTCATGAGCCCAGAGCCTGGGGGGCCAAGCTGCCACAGCAAATGAGAGTTTGGTTGTGCAGTCCTCCTGCAGGATTTAGCTCTGGGAGACAAGGAGACAATTCCAGCCCTGGCCCAAGGATCCCAAACCTTGCAAGGATGGCAGTGCTCTCGGAGGGATGAGCCTGGGCACATCTGCAGCCCTTTCCAAACCCCTCTGTGCTCTCTCAGAGCCCCTTTTTGGGGTGTGTGCTGCCTGCTCCTGTGCTGGGGGTGTGTTTGGGGCTCAGGCTGGAACAGCAGGGGAAGGCAGGAGGCAAAAAATAAAAGGCTCTGCCTCCTCTTGCCCGTGCAAAGGGCTGGTCACTGCTTGCCTCAGGAGACTGCTCTTCATCCAGGCTACATCAGAGGGAAAGCTGATACAAGCGGGGAAAAGTATCATCCCGAGGTGTTCAGGAGCTCGTTTCTGAGGAAGCTCAGGCCCTTGGCATTTGCACAGTCTCCCTCAGACAGGTATGTCTCTCTGAGGGTGGAGGAGCGTGTGCTGCAGGAGCCCAGGCAGAGACAGATCCCAGGGGCTCTGCAGGGGCAGGGCAGGACTGAGAGCACTGCTGGCAGAGCTGGGCACTCCAGGACAAGGAGCTGCCAGGGCATTGGCAGGCAGCAGTGCCAGGGCCATGCAGCAGACTGCTCTGAAGGGCTGCACGGAGGTGAGCTCTCCTTCCCCCTCCTCCCTCGCTCTCCACGTCATACGGCTGAGGACAGAGCACAGTTAGAGCCACACTGTCCTTGATGCTCTCTGTCCTCCTGGCAATGAACTGGTCCTTGAGCTGTCACCGAGCCAGAGCATCCCCCAGGAGCAGGCAGGGTCAGGCCAAGCCCTCTCCCCATGGCCAGGGCTGTGTGCTGTGGCACAAGGCAGGGGCTGGTCACTCTCCTGCAGCAGCACCCATGAGGATGAGAGCTCTGGCAGGCCTGGATGGGAGTGGGCAGGCACAGCTGAGGAGAAGCTGGTTACAGGCTCCCTCTGCAAAACTCGGAGGATGAAAAACCCTGCACAAGGCTCGGCCCTGTTTTCTGACTTGGGGCATGTCCCGCACAGCAGAAACATTTGTTTACTCTACCAGGGCATTTGTTCAACATAACCCAGGTTTTGTCTTTTTCAGGCTCGCCAGGCACAGCAGCAGATGCTGTATCTGGGCTCACATGACATCAATAACAGCTTCAGCTGGGCTCTGCCTCCCCACCTTTATGGACAGCAATGATAGATGAAGCAGACAGGGCACAGTTTGGTTTTTAGGTGCTGGAGTGAACCTGCAGTGCTGACAGATTAAAAAAATGTGTTTGGAGCCTGAACAAATGTGACGTGTATATTTTCCAAGGAGAGTGAAGGGTGTGGGAGGACAGCCCAGGCCGTAGCAGGAGCTGGTGCAAGCTGTCCTGGGGGTGACGAGAGCGTTGACGGGAGCGAGAACTTTACCTCCATCCTCTGCTGCTGCGTCAGGCCTGGAGGAGTCTCTACTTTCCTTCCATTGCAGGCAGTCCCTCCTCAAAATTAGTTTCTTAGTGGAAAGAGATCACCAAATGTGAGGTGATCTGATCCTGTGTGTCAGAAGAGTTCTTGCTGTCACCCTGGGGATGGGAAAGGTGCCACTTGCTGCGCTTTCATGGCTCTGCTTTTCTAAAACCCTCCCCAGCCCAGGGCTTAACATGTTACAGTTCTCCTAGGGATTGAAATGCAAAAGGAGAAAATATACCTGGGAAAGGTTGGGAAGGGGAAGAGAACTGGCAGCATTTGACAGAAAAAAGGGGGAAAATCTCAGCAAACTGAGCACCAGGTGTTTCAATACTTTTATCAAGTGGAATTTACGGCTATGCCATCTGTACATCTGATGTGGCACGTCCAGCACAGGACCATGAGCTGGTAGTTTAGACCCCAGAATAACTCCCATCCTTATTTCAAATACTGTGCAACTGCTGACACAAACTTTGGGGACATGCAGCTGTGGGAAGAGCTGCTTCTCTTCACTGTAGAAACATGGCTGCTTCTGGATGGAGGTGCACTACTCCTTGTCACCCCATGCCACAAGGGTTCAGGGAAGGGGAAAAGCAGCCAGGAAGGCCATGGATCCAACAAAAACTGTCACTGGGATGCAAACTGTGTTTGGCACATTGAATCCTGCCTGGTTTTGCTCAACAGCTGGGTAAAACTTGGGGCTCTCCAGAGGACAGGCTGGGATTCAGAGCAGAGCCAACACGTGGAAGGTGGTGCTGACCACCAAAACCCTGTGGCCAGCAGTGACTCTGCCTGGCCCTTCCTCTGCTGCAGCCCTGAGGGAACTTTTGAAGCCACATCAGCACCTGCTGACCCCGAAGGATTTAAGCAAAGGAGAGAGGGAGGCACAGTTGCCTTTTGTTGTTAATGCCTGTATGCATTTCTGCCCAGGGGTGTGGGGATTTCAATGCCTTCTCTCTACACTGGCCCAGGAATGTTTATACACCAGTAAATAATGGGAATTGCTCATCTGTGTCCGAGTGTGGATGTTCAATTACAGCCCTCTCCTGCAGCTGATCCGAGCCCTGCGCTCCGCTCTCCTCTCGCCCCGGCTCTGCGGTTTGCTGGCAGTTTGACATTTTGTCAGCCTGAGGATAAAGCAGGACTGTTGACAAGCGGAGAAAACAGGGAAAGGAGCTTTCCTCCCCGAGCTGAGGCAGAGCACAGTTCCTCCTGTT